TGCCAGACCGCCACGACTTCTCAAATATGATGGCCAGTGGTTTAGCGACTTCGTCTGCCAGTTCCCTCAGTACCCATGGATGTATCTCATCAGGTCCCATGGACTTGTGCGCTTTCAGGTTCCTCAGGTGGTCTCGCACTTGATCCTCACCTGCAGTGGGTGGTTCTTCACTTTCCCAATCCTCGCCTTTACATTCTGTGTTATGGGCAATGCAGCTGCAGTCCTTGCCAGTGAAGACAGAGGCAAAAAAGTCGTTTAGGACCTCGTCTCTGTCTCTGTCCTAGGTAGGTCTTATCACTCTGAGTGAACATTGTCTGCACAATATGCTGTTAATTTCAGTAGTTAAAAGAAGCCTAGCTAAGAAGTAAAGTTACTGAACAAAATTGGTCCTGTTTTACCTCAAACCAGGACACTTAGAGATCTGTGCTGTGCTGTATTTGTTGCATCCACCCAGTATCAGTCTTCAAGGACTGGGGAGGGTCCTGCTGCCTGAAAGAGTGAAAGAAACGTTTCAGAATTGAAAGCTGTAGGGGAGAGCTAGGATTCGACGTTGAAGAAAAAAGCTTGTGCCCTTGAAGAACAAAGTAAACAAGTTTTGAGAAAGCAGCGGCAAGAAGCAGGATGTGATTATGGAGTCACAGCCCTGCGTGAACAGAGAACACTACCAATCCCTTAACAGAAAAATGTGTGTGATGGTGAGCCCTTACCCTATCAGCATGGAATTGATAGCATGGGGACAGTAGCTGAGACTATAAAGCATAGCCATTTGTTACAATAAAGGTCTTTGGTCAGAGTCCGTGCCTCAAGGCTCCGCTGAAAGCTGTTTCAGACCTCGTGGGTCAACTGTAAACCAGACTGGATTGCTTCAGCCCCTGTGCTGATAACAGCTTGTTGCAAAAAAATTCAAAGTAAACCAACCACCTAATTCTGGCTGTTGCTCACTGGAAAACTACTGTTACAGTAAGCACTGATACTACTGATGATTAGAATGAAATAAAAGAGAAATACAAGCATGTTGCACCTTGCTTAGAACAAATGATATTTTTGAGAGCCCAGGAGGTTTTCTAAAATGCTGATAGTAATCAAAATGCAAGCTATTCATCTGGCTTGACACATTACACATCTCCCAGGTATTTTGTGATGAAAGTGTCAACCGCTTTTACACTTCTTTTTGTCACAGAATTTGTAAGAAAAAGTTATTACAGAAAGAATTGTAATATTCGTACAGTGTGTTGAGCCTAGAAGTGTCAGGAGTAAGCTTTAAAGCTTACCTTAGGAGGACAGGGTTCAATCTCACCTCTCCCACCTCCCAGGCTAATGCAGTTGTCACCAGACTGTCAGGTTACTTCTACTGGTTGTACTTGCTGTCACCCCAGCTGCTAGAAAGAGGATGTCAGCTGGTGGGTAGCGTTATCGGAAGTGGAACTCTCCACAAGCAGAGAGATTCTTCTTTTTCCTCTTGGCATGCTTCTGTATTTCCCATTTAGCTGCTCCATCTACTGGCCTGATTTCAAAAGGACAGACCCTGGCTGCATTTTATAAGGGGCCTGATTTTCTCTGTGTGTATGGGGAGTATTTTGAAAATGTGATAAATATGACTTTGATTTATCCTGGTAACTTGTGCCAACCCAGTATTATTTTTTGACAGGGTAAATGACTCCCTGGAAAATGGAAATTCAATACCTCTAATCTCTCTGGAATTCAGTAAAAGATTTGCTGCAGGGCAATGGAAAAACAAATTTTCTTCTGGATAAAATGGACATTTTTACAAATGCTGAAAATGATGGATATGGGGAGGGGGTGAAGAACTGAAATCAAAGTAACAAATATCAATATTCAAAGGGGTTCTGTGTAGCCGACCACAGGTGATTAGTGAACTCCCTTGAGGACCAAGTGCGGGACTGATTTTGACTAAGATTTTCATTTCTAGTCTTAAAACTAAAAGAGGACCTCAGTCAGAAGTGTGTGTAGTATTTTTGTCAGGCAAGAGGAATGCAAAGGGGAAGAGACGTTAACACAAGAGAAAATGGATATGAAAGCCATTTATAATTCTGGCTAGGCAGTGAGATTATTGCTTTTTTAAAAGGAATAATGACACAATGTGAAGTTCCCCAGTTCAAGAAAGATAAGGAATTACTGGAGAGAGTCCAGTGGAGGGCTACGAGGATGATCAGGGGACTGGAGCATCTCTCCCATAAGGAAAGGCTGAGAGCCCTGAGGCTGTTCAGCCTGGAGTAGAGAATCCTGAGAGGGCATCTCATCAATGCTTATCAACATCTAAAGGGTGGGTAGCAGGAGGATGGGGCCAGACTCTTTTCATTGGTGCCCAGTGACAGGACAAGGGGCAATGGGCATAAACTGGCACACAGTAAATTTCATCTCAACATGAGGAAGAACTTTGCTGTGAGGGTGGCAGAGCACTGGCACAGGCTGCCCAGAGATGCTGTGGATTCTCCTTCTCTGGAGAGATTAAACACCCTGCCTGGGCACAATTCTGTGCAACCTGCTCTGGATGGCCCTACTTTAGCAGGGGGGTTGGTCTGGATGATCTCCAGAGGTCCCTTCCACCTGCCAGTCTGTGATTCTGAACAATGTAGTAAAAAAAACAGAAACATAATCATCATTAAATTCCAGTAGGTCTCTTCCGGTCCTGCATTTTTCTGTCAACAATAAGTTATCACTAATTTCATTCTAATAAGCTATAACCTCCCATTACAATTTACAATAGAAACTACTCCGTCTTTCCTGAAGGTACATTTGAGAGCTGTATGATCCAAAATTCATACCAGATGATATGCTTAGTGGAACTTAGCAGATGGTGACTGAATGCATTTCCACTGGTAAACATCTGAAAGAGATAATTATGGTTTGGTATCACCCTGGAACTACATGTGCAGTCTATTGCTTTCAGTTACAATGTAATTCTGACAGGTGGAATTCTGGAAATTAAGCCATGGACTGTAAGTTTTTCATAAATGATCAAAAAAAAAATTATAAAAGCAGATCTAAAGACTTTAAAGCAAAGTGACTTCTGTTTAAACACATTTCATGGGTTTAACGCTCCATGGAGATTAAGAAAATCTCCCATTTGTTTTGCCATGAATTGACTTAACTTCAGATTGACTGAGCTTTCATAGAAAGGGGAGGCTTAAATTGATTCTACTCCACTCTTGTGAGACCCCACCTGGAGTACTGCGTCCAGCTCTGGAGTCCCCAACGTACGACCTTGGACCTGCTGGAGCGTGTCCAGAGGAGAGCCACGAGGATGATCCAAGGGCTGGAGCACCTCTGCTGTGAGGAGGCGCTGAGAAAGTTGGGGTTGCTCAGCCTGGAGAAAAGAAGGCTCCACGTAGATCTTATTGTGGCCTTCCAGTACCTAAAGGGCCTACAGGAGAGATGGGGAAGGACTTTTTACTAGGGCATGTAGTGATAGGGCGAGGGGGAATGGCTTTAAACTGGAAGAGGGCAGGTTTAGATTAAGCATTAGGAAGAAATTTTTCACGTTGAGGGTGGTAAGGCACTGGAACAGGTTGCCCAGAGAAGTTGTTGAGGCCCCATCCCTGGAGGTGTTTAAGGCCAGGCTGGACGTGGCCTTAGGCAGCCTGGTCTAGTGGGAGGTGTCCCTGCCTATGGCAGGGGGGTTGGAACTCGGTGATCTTCAAGGTCCCTTCCAACCTAAACCATTCTATGATTAGTTGGCTTCTCTAATAATGCTGGAAAATCTAGCACTTCGGAGGGTTTTGGTCGAATACAATTTTTTTCACAAGGACACAGACAACCCACACTAACCTAATGGTGGGCCAGGGCCAAGTCCTGGCTGGGAGGCAGCTGCTGCTCCGGCCGCCCAGTGACTCAGGCTCACATCAATTCTGCCTATGTCTGTGGCAGCTGTTCATCCTAAAATAGCAATCAGTCCCACTCTAGGCAGCACCGGAGGATTGGAGTTTATCAATCAATTGGAAAAACTGTGTGGGTCTGGTACAATGCCAGCGTGGACAAGGTCATGCAAGTTGCCCAGCAGTGCGGCAGGGCCCCGAGCCAGGGAAGGCCAGGGGCCACAGAAACCCGAAGAGCCGCAGCAAGAGCTGAAGGGGGCTGAGCAGGGCCAGGCTCAGGGCTCGAGCTGTGGGAACAGTCCCCGTTGTTATAAGTTAGTCTCACAAAGTGAGGCGAGGAGACGGAGCCAATTAAATTTGAAGGATTTATTAGCAAGCGGCAGCAAGCAAAACAGCACTGGGCGGCCCGGGAGTCTCAATCCGCCAACGGCGCACACCTAGGTTACAAAAGTCTTTGGTTTTATACTCTTCTACTTCCGGTGTAGGCGTTTCTCTTAGTGGTGTACTCTGCGTCTGCGCGGTTTGTTGCTAGGGGGTCGTCCTCTTTCTTCCTTTGCTTTTTGGTGGTCGCAGGGATGAAGGCTCCATGTCTTCCTGAGCCTCCCAAGTCTTATCACAATTTATGATGTTAGCAGGACTTGACTGAGCCTCCCCCTTTCCTTTCCTCCCAAGCCTTTTCACAATTTATGATGTTAGCATAACTCGACCTTGCAGCCTGGCCTTGTTTGCTTAGCAGATGTTGGCTATCTTGCCCCATCCTGCCAAGCAGCTGCCTTTCATGAAACACTGTAACAATGAGAGTTTTTAGGTTTGGTGAACAAACAATACTGAGCTTGTCACAATCCCTGCCAGAACCAGGACACCTGGTCATCCTGTTTCATCTCCTGGTCATCCTGTGATGGCACAGAACCCATGAGCTGTTCCAACAGGCCTCAGCTGTTGTTCCCTCAAAGTGGAATGAAGAGGTTGCACATGGGGCTCCAGCTCCTCCTGCCTTTCCCCCCAGGCTGAGGGCATCGGTGCATGTCTGGCCTCCAGCACCTCAGCTGTGACACCTTTGGGCTGAGAGCACACTTGCAACAAGCAACCTGCTACCAAGCACCCAAGACCTCACTTGGGCAAAGGTTTTGCTTCAGAGCAGAGACATGCTGGAGTGGATGGCAGATGGGCGCCGGCGGAGTGCGGGTCTGCCTGGGCCCGGCAGGGAGAGGGGCCGTCGGCGGGGCCTCCCTCTGCCGCCCAAGTGCCATCGTCCCGCGGGCCCCGCTGGGCCGCAGGAAGGGTGGCGGTGAGGTGTGGTGCGCCAGGCTGGAGACCCCCGTCCGGCTGTGGGAGAGGTGGAGGGTGGTGCAGAGACACCGCTGGCACAGCATGGCCTGGCCATGCAGAGAGGTGTCTCTGAAATGCGGGTGTCTCTCGGCCTGCCTCTCCCTGCTCTTCCTGTATTGGTACCCAACTCATTTCAGCTTATTTCTGAGAAAGGCAAGTGCTTTCCTTGTGTCTGTGGAATGTCAGAGAGCACATTCTCCAGGTGAATTGGCCCTTATGGCTCCTCCGAATTTTTCTGTCACCCTGTGTACAGGCTGGTAACACATCCACCACTAAAATGCAAACTGGGACACAAGTTTTAAGGTAATACCCTCTTGGACAGCTTCGTCTGTCCTCGGTCTCAGACAAAATAGTAAATGGTTGCTGTGGGTGCTGTTGCTATTACCACCATAATGTTCTGGGGTTTTTTTTGTTTGGTTTTTTTTTTAAGCTAAGAGTAGTCACTCATTTTATGCCAGAAAATACCAGGATTGTGGCAAGGCTACAAATTTTATTTTTAATGTACCAGAAGGAACAAGGCATTGAGATTTTGATTTAAGTGGGATTTTTTTTTAATTACCAAATTTTGATTAATTTATGTCTGGTTTTGCTTCAAAATAGTGAATGCCTTAAAGTGTTTGTGACTGAAATCAATGTGACTGAAATCAATGCCAATTGATCAAATTTCAGTCAAGAGCAGTCAGGTGAGCAGGTTGGTAGCTAAGGTTTTCTTCCCTGAAGAGAGAGTGGGTTACGGACAATCTTTTGACTTAGCATCTGCCACTTTTATACAGTCCAGCACTATGTTTACCTGTGATATGAAATTTTGTCAGTGCTTTCTGCCGAAGGGTAAGGTGCCAGTTTTGGAGCAGCAGTCATATTTATCTTTTAAGCAAGTCGTGTAAAGGTTTAATAGTCCAGTCACTTCACCTGCATCTGACAATTGAGGACTATGGTTCTGCTGATTTCCCTTTTGTTTTGAATGCAGAATGCTATATGCATATTTGTGGTGATTGAAAGACACGGACTCTGATATGCAGGATCAAAATCAGATTTATTAAGCAAGCGTGCTCTTTATATACTTTCTTCCAAGGCCAGTAATTTTCTACTTTACTTGTTTACACCATCACATACTCTAAAAGATCAAGTTCCCACCGAAAAGGGAATCTCTCTTCCCTGTGAGCAGCACCTCCTTATCTAGGGAGTAGCTTCACACAACTTCATGGTCTGCCAGAACAGTGCTGCAGCTGCTTATTCCTCCCTATTAGTTCTACCACACTTAACCCTTCTTTTGCCTCAGTCCCCACATGTATTGGCATACAGGTCTTTATGAAAGCTGTTGAATGATTGAATAGACATTGGTTTAGCCTGCATCATTTGGCAATGTATCCAAGCATATGAGCTACATCTGCTGAAGTAGTGTGAACTACTGGTTGCACGTGTTGGAAGAGCTTCTAGAGAAATTGGTAAAATCCTGCCTGAGTTTTGAAGCCCATGATTAAAATAGAGTTGAGGCTGTGCCCAGTCTTTCTTAACTGTGTAACAGATTCATCCTCTTCATGTGTCAGTTTCCTGCACCTTGTTAGTCCTGCTCTGTTGCAGTAAGGAGGCAATTTCACTTATTTCTGTCCTGTCAGTTTTCAGTTGTATCATTCTTGTTGTTTTGTCCTCTTTTGTGGATTGCAGAAATATGTGGGACAGTTCTACATGGGCCAATGCCATGGAAAGGGGATTTGCTACTGGCCTGATGATTCTAAATTCACAGGAGCTCTTTATCTTGGCCATGTAGAAGGCTATGGGACCCTGGAATGGAAGAATGGCAGAAAATTTCAGGTAACTGGAAAAATGGTGTTCTAATACTGTGATTTCTTTGCCTTTCAAAGTCAGCATAAGTACAGGAAAATTTGAGTGTGGGTTTTTTTTTCAAGCAGCTCCCTTAGTGTTTTGGTACTTTAGAGCAAAATTGTCATGCTTTGAATTCCAGTGAGTTAGGGCGCTGTTTTCAACAACTTAGCTTCTGCTGTACTTTTGCATGGGGAAATATTGAAGGAGATGATCATAGAATCATACAATCATTTAGGTTGGAAAAGACCCTTAAGATCATTGTGCCCAAGTATAAACCTAGCTCTGCCAAAACCACCGCTAAACCATGTCCCTCTGCACCACATCTACATGTCTTTTAAATACCTCCAGGGATGGCAATTCCACCACTTCCCTGGGCAGCCTGTTCCAATGTTTGATAACCCTTTCGGTGAAGAAATTTTTCCTAATATGCAATCTAAACCTTCCCTGGTGTAAGGGTGAGGAACTTGGGGGTGTTGGTTGACAGCAACAGAATATGAGCCAACAGTGTGCCCAGGTGGACTAGAAGGCCAATAGCATCCTGGCTTGTATCAGGAGTAGTGTGGCGAGCAGGACTAGGGCAGTGATCGTCCCCTCCTCCCCTTGGTGAGGCTGCACCTTGAGCACTGCGTTCAGTTTTGGGCCCCTCAGCACAAGAAAGACATTGAGGTGTTGGACTATGTCCAGAGAAGGGCAATGAAGCTGGTGAGGGGTCTGGAGCACAAGTCCTATGAGGAGTGGCTGAGGGAACTGGGATTGTTTAGCCTGGAGAAAAGGAAGCTGAGGGGAGGCCTTATCGCCTTCTAAAACTACCTGAAAGGAGGGTGTAGCGAGGGGAGGTTGAACTCTTCTCACTAGTAAAAAGTGGTAGAACAAGAGGAAATGGCCTTGAGTTGCTCCAGGGGAGGTTTAGATTGGATGTTAGGAAAAAAATTCTTCACTGAAAGGGTTGTCAAACATTGGAACAGGCTGCCCAGGGAGGTGGTGGAGTCGGCATACCTGGAGGTATTTAAAAGACACGTAGCCATGGTGCTGAGGGACCTGGTTTAGTGGTGGTTTTGGCAGTGTTAGGTTGACGGTCGAACTCAGTGATCTTGAAGATCCCTTCCAACTTAGACAATTCTGATTGTATGATTCTAGGTTGATAATATGGCACTAATTATGGATTTAGGAGAACTTTAATTTGAGTATATGATGTATAATCTAAAGCTCAGGGTGGAAATAGGGAAGCTTCAGATCATAACCATACTCAGAATTTTATTTTTGCCAGTGGTAGCTTTTTTCTCCCGCTCCTTTATCTTTGTATCTAAACAGCTCAATGTGAAATTGCTAATTTTTGCTCCAAATAGCTGTTTTGAGGTTGTGATAGCTTAGTGTGAACCTGTCTGCAACCATATGGGTGATCCAGACATGCATGAATATGCTTAAATTGGTAATCTTCATGCCTTACCTACTGTATTGTCATGGCCAAACTAGGATACCCTTATAGGAAGACTAAAACTCCTGTCCTACAGCGCTTTATTTGCTACTGAGACTCATCTGTTGGCATGTCTTGTGGTGCATGCAAGGCTATAGATACCCTAAATTTAGTTACCATTGTAAGAAAAGAAGTAACTGTCATTTCCAGATTCTGTGTCTGTGCAGATGTGTGGCAGATGTGGTTGTTTTGATTAGGTAGGAAAAGCTAACCAAAAATCTGTCTTAGCCTGCAAGGGAGCAGCCTGGCTAATAAATCTAAAATTGGTCACAGAACAAAATGAAAAGGAAATCTTGCTCTGGCCCTAAAACCATCAGGAAGTTTCATCTAAACATTACATCCCACTGTAGTTAGATTTAGGGTCTTCCACTGTTCTTGTGCTGGAAGATTTGTGCTTGCTGTTAAATGGACCAAAGTGAATGGAAAGGCTTTGCAGTTCAGATTGGCCTCAGCAGTTATTGCTCTGTCCATAGGAAGTGGACCAGTAAGGCCAGAACCAGCCAGATTAGTTTAAATAGAAAGCAGACTTTAACTGTACAACTTGTTTGTTTTCTGACTGATACTAATGAGTTTACTTGTTTCTTAAGGGGCTGTACAAATCTGATGAGCGATTTGGACCAGGGACTGAGAGCTATCCAGATGGCTGTCAGGATGTTGGTTTGTGGCTCAGGAATCATCTAATTAAACTGTGTACTGAAGCACCTGGTTATTTTTCTCTTTTGGATTATCCAGCACACTACAGATACATTGATGACAATTCTTGAAAGAAGTGTATTTCAGTTGAGGAAGACCCATTTCTCCGTAGCTATAAACATCTCCCTTTTGATGATAAGGATATTTTTCCTGAAGGAGTCTTTGCGTATTCTCATAACACAGATCATTTTACTTTGACATGCTCCTTCCTGGAAGAATGTGATGCTTGATATTTTCAGAGCACCCCAAAGCTGCCTGAGGAAGACCCTTGGCCTGTTACAAATGTAACCCCTCTACTTGTTAGAATGCATATGCATGTTTATAAGCACAGGTAACTGTTGATGTTTTGTTTATTAAGTATGGATTTTTAGAAATTATTGTCCACAACTGTTCACTATTTTCAAATTTACATTGTAGGATAAAAGCTGTACTCGGGGTTGTTTTTTATGGCCTTGAGATTGCAAGTTGCCAACGAGGACCGGCAGAAGATGAAAAAAAAAACATATTCATCTCTGAATTCACAAATTTTATTCTTTTAAGTTAAACATCAGTTTTATCCTGGTTACTTCTATAAAAATTGTCTCATTACTCATTAGCATGTCAGAGTTCCTGGAAGTCCAGTTTTGAAAGGAATTAGGAGGCAAGGGCTGTAGAGGCCTATTCTGACCTTCCCTGTTCCAAGAGTGTAGTATCTTGTGCAGAGGTAGAAATACAGAGAAGCATAGTGCCAGATTTTTGAAAGCTCTGAAGATCTGGCCAATGGTACCTTTTTGTGGTTGTCTTGACTCTCATTCTCCTTCAAGGCTATACAAAACATGCTGCAGCAAGTCTACAGCCAGTAGAACTGCCAACTGCATGTCAGTTTTTATGTAGCTTGGTACTTGTACACAGAGATGCTCTTTGGGCCCACAGAGTATTTCCTTATTTGTTTTTTTGATAGGAACACAAGCTACATATACATATTTGATAGTCCTAGTTAAAGCAGATGATGGAAATTAAATCCTAAACAGATGTCACAAGTGTGCATGATAAATTGTTTCATAGAAACACATGGTAGTTAGATTTTGTTTTCTTTTTTTAGTAGATGTTTGATGGTTGGATATTTTTCAACTTCTCTAGCTAAAATCTATATGTTGCTGCCAGCAACCCATACACTGGTTGGCCTTTCTGCCATTAATGTCAGCAAGCTTACGCTATCTGAAATAGATCTTAAAAGGGTAGCTGGCCTTATTTTCCCATCTTGCTCACCAACATGTTTTGTTCTTGATGTGTTTTTTCTTTAATTGCCATAGTAGTCCAAGAATACCTAGCTGTTTAAATGTGCTGTACTTTTTTCTTCTTTTCTAGGCACTGTCAAGGGGAGTTCACGTCAGATGTCAACCTCATTCTCAGTGGAGCCCGCAGTGCTTATGGGCCTCCAGGCCCCAGGGAACTTGCCTCAGAGCAGCTAATTCAGAAGGCAGCAAGAGGAGATTATGATGGGGTCTATGCAATTCTGAGGAATGGGCTTGCTCATCCAGACATAGCCGACAAGCACGGATACACAGCACTTGCTGCTGCTGCTGTAAGACTCTAAGCGTAACTCTTCACCACATGATGAGAAAATTTGTGGTATGGTAGGCTGGGTTAAATTTTTCTCTTGTTTCATTACATAGTGTGAAAGGAATGTTTAGTAAACAGGAAAAACAGAAAAGTGGTGTGGCATGAGTAGTGTCCGTAATGACTGGTATCATGCCAAACTCCACAGTAAACAAATAACCTAAAAGAAGCCCTTCAGTAAATACTAGAGTTGATTTCAAATGTCAGGTTTGATTTCAGGTTATGATTATGCAGTGGACTAGATCTACGTTCTTGGATGTGACTGTACCTGTATTATTTTTTCTCCTAGTTGAAAACAGATTCAGACATAGTTGTTTTCTTTTTGCTGAAAAGCCGTGGTGGCTAGAAACTGTGCATGCATAACGTCAGTTTCTATAGGAGGGGCATGAAATCCTGCCCCCCCTGCCTTTTTCTTCATGCCCTTTTCAGCTACCTTAATACCTGGCATTCATTGTAAATGACTATCAAAATCTAGATAATAATTTAGAACACTGTACTTCTCCTGTAGCTGTCTCAGGCACTTTTAGTCTCTTTCTGTGTGTGAATCCTCACTGAATTCCTGTGAAATCCCACAGTTGAAAATTAGCTGAAAAGTGCATGTTCTGAACCCTGTAAGTCACGGTTCAGTATTGTATTTCTATTTTGTGGGAAATAAAAATGTGAATTAGCTATACAGTGTAGAACATCGCTACTTTAAAACTGTTTTGTCATTCTTTCTTTGTCAGAAGCTAAAAGTGTGTACGTATATATGCAAGTATGGTTGTTTCCCTTCTACAGGTTCATTCCCACAATGATGTTGTCAATCTTCTTCTTGATAGTGGAGCTGATGTGAGTAAGTGTAGTGATGAAGGATTATCTGCTCTCTCCATGTGCTCTCTTTTATCCAGAAGAATCATTTAAGGGTAATATTGCTGAGAGGAGTTTGCACAGTTGCAAGGTTGGTTTACTTCTAATCTAAAATGACAGAATCAGAATGTATTATTTCCTCAAGCTGCAAGCTTTCTTTTTAAATTTACTGTGTGTACTCCTAGGAAAAAGTCATGAATTTTGTGCATTTTATGCATTCTGAGGATGCAGAATAAACTCTACTCTCACTGCTAACTCCTGTCTTGAAGGACCAAGCTCCAGTGCAGTTACAAGCTTGCTCTGCAGATGAAGTAAGATGCTGTATCAATAGCAGAGATGTGAAGCTGTGTTTGTGATGTGTTTAACACAATGAAGATGCAGTGGGGCAGTTGATAGGAATTATAAAAGCATAAGTAGACAAATTTGATGTAGGTGATTCTCCTGGTACTATCATATCCTACTGGCATCATGGAGGTGGCTAGTAAAAAGCAATTGTACTGTCAGAAGTGTGCTGATCCTCGGGGAGTGCTTACAAAGGAAGAGTCGTATCCCTGGAAGAGAAACACCTGCTCTGGACTTCCTATGTAGGAACATGCTATATATTTCGTCAGAGTGCAAACCTGGGAATGGGAAAGAAAATGAAAGTAAGGGTGTCAGGAATCACCAGCCAGGATAAAAAAAACAGATAAAAAGGGGGTCTTGTCAGGAACTGTGGTCTTTGAAATGTTTCAGTGGAGTCCAGAAATGGAAGGGTGCTGCTGAGACTTTCACATGAAGCTAGACAGGTAGTGGCCCATGCCTTGAGGAATCTTCTTGGAAGTTAACTACCAATTAATCCTTGATTGCTCTGAAGTTGCTGTTCCAGTTCCAAGAGTATGTTCAAGTGGTGGCCCTTGCTAAAGTTGCAAGACTTCTATGGGAAAAGGAGAAGGGGATTGAGAGATAGCAGCTGCTCAAAACTGAACAGAAATGTGGAGCTATTACCTCTCATTTTGGAGGTAATATGTGGTAATTAGGAATAGGGAGGGGATCCTTCTGTGTTGGTTTGTGTCTATCACAGTCTGAGATTCTGCAAGGTAAAGGTACATTGCTTTCACTTTTCCTCTGAGTTGTACATTCATTCAGGTTTGGAAACATCAGCCTTGTAGGTCCTAGTTTCAGATTCCCATGCAAACTAATGCTGGTTGAAAGTCTTTAAGTGTCTTGTTTTATTTCAGCAATTTTTTTTCTTTTAAGCTAGGTGATGTATACTGGAAAAAACTTTTAACTCTTCTAAACATACCTTAGACACTATGGCAACTGAACAAGAAAAATATTGCATTATTTTAAGAGATTTTTTTTAAAAAAACTTAGTTGCAAATGACTTCTAAATTATTTCCCTAACAGTTGTTAACAAAATTCCATTATCATTGTATGCTGTACTGTGTTATACTGTTCTGATGTGTTAATATGCTGAGTCATGCATTGGAAGATTTTTTTTTTAATTTTTGAAACCTTTTTCTTTCTTTAAATCTTTAAGTGGAGTGAACAATCAGAATCCTCAGAAACAGTCAATGTGGCTGAAGACATTATCTCAGAGTAAGTCTCATGCACTATAAAGGGGAGACCAACTCTCATAAACCCTTTTGTATAAAGAAGGTAACAGTATTTCACATATTTCACAGAAGTATGCATCCATTGCAAGGAAGGATATTTTTTGTTTGTTTAACTGGGTAAATCTTGTTTTCATGACAGTAGAAGCCACTCATTGTTTATACACTGTAATGTAACTCGTGTCAGCAGTGGGCAAAGATTGCAGTTGAAAAGGGTAGTTCCAGCAAAGGACGTCATGCTTGAACAAGACAAGACTTCTTTTCAGAAGTATGCAATGGACACTTACAGTGTATTGTACATGTGAGGAATGAGAATGTGTTCATTTCATTTCTTGAAATCCTGACTACATATGAACTTGCTAGTTGTTTTCTGCAATTGTCTGTTCAGCAGTGTCAGCCCTTTGTGGATCTTTGAAAGGGCCACATTTTGGTTTTTGCTTTGCTTACAGAGCAGTCACAAAATTTTTTATGTTGTGTTTTATGGCAGCGTAGGTGATTTTGATATCTTAAAACTCCCAAATTGAAAATTCCTGGTTGGCCTTCTGGCCTTTATCCCTTACATTTTACTTTTGCAGCACATCCTCCCATCTCCCATGATTCTTGTTGTCTGAAATATTGTGCATATTGCATGTTGTTCATTGGAATATGAAGATCCATTGTGCATAGGGCTTGTGGGTAAAGCTGAGTTAATACCATGCCTGAAAAGATGGAGCATCCGCTGAGAACACTTTGTGATGGAGTTTCTGGGTGGTTTCCAAGTGCTGTTTGCCTTTTTTTTTTTTTCCTTTTTTTTTTTTTTGGTGGTGTCAGACTTTTTTGGTGGGGGGCATGTGGATAGTTTGCATCCATGGAAATGTAGGTGGCACCTGAAATATATTGTCCTAGTCTAGCATAGCTCCTGTTCCAGCTTTTGTTTAAGGGAAGCACTGTACCTTTTTTTTCTTGGGATGGACGAATGAGGTATGAAGGAGGGAAGAACCTTCCAAGGAGTCTTTGATGGCAGGAAGGAGGAGTCTGTTTATTTCATTAAACAAGTCTAAGACTAAATGTTTGCAAGTCAGATGTGAGTGACTGGTGGAGATGCAGAGAACCTTGCCTAGCTTTGCCTATCTGTTCCCATGCAAGGGCTTTTCATGACCATGGGGACTGCTTTTGCATGCTAATCCTTTAGAGGACTGAGATACACTGGTAGTGCTGTACCCTCTTCAGGCCATAATGTTGTTGCCTGGGTGGTGTAGAGCAGCTGTGATGCGGCGCTAAAGACTGCCATGTCTTCCCTCTGCTAAGTGACAGTTTTCATGTCTATTACCTGGGAGTCATTTTAGTCCACTAGCTTTTAGAGTTTTCTTGGAAGGTGCTAATACATTATTCTGGTATTTTCCATGTCAATTCTAGACGACAGAAGAGATGGGAAACAATCCAACTGCTGCTTCGTCGAGGTGCAGATCCCAATGCATCCTGGGTCCCACCACACCTTCTGTTCTTTGCTGTTAAAGCTGCAGATGCAGAAGCAGTGAAACTTCGCTTAGAAAGGGGAGCCAGGACTGATGTGCAGCTTCCATCCAAGGTTTTACTGGATTATAATTCATAATGTGGGATTCTAGATGTGTATTGAAGCTTCAGTGCCCTACTGTAAAATATCCTGCATGTCAGAGTCAACTTTAGAATGGCCAGAAAGCTGTTTAAAGCTATTATCCTGTTCAAAGATAATTTTTTTTAATAGAAAGAACTCAAAGCTTCTTGCTCTCCAAGTATTTTTTTTTTCTCATTATGTTTCCTGGTTGCCAAGCTTGTGAGTGACTGGGGAATACCTGTGAAGCTGCTCCTCAAGTTGGTAATAGCTGTTGTGATTTTTAGTAGGCTTAGTGTTGAGACCTTCAGTGTTCCACAGTCCTGTAACTCTAGGCACTAGGTTTGTGGTGTGAGAAACAGCACGTGGGAAGAGTGAGCTTGGGTTATTCTTTGAAAAAATATTTAGTGCTGTTGAAGTGCTGCTTGTGATATACAGCAGTCTTAATGTTGTTTGTTTTTTCAGTTAGGGGGATTAACTCCTCTCCACATAGCTGCCTCAATTCCTGGGGAGAAAGGCGTCCAGATAACACAATACCTTCTGCATTCTGCCCTGGATATTAATGCAAGGGCGGAAGATGGAAATGAGATATATGGTCCAGACAAGGTATGTTGCTTTTTGAGCTCATCTTATTTCAGCTGTTGAAATTCAGATTGCACAGGACCTAAGCAGGGAATTGAGATTCCTGCCTGCTTGATTTCACAGTGAAATCTTCCCTGAAAGAACTTTAAAAAAAAAAAAAAAAAAAAAAAAAAGAAGAAAAAAACACTTGAGGTCTACAGTACAGTGTTGCAGTAAACATATCCTTCTGGTTTTGGTGCCCCAGAATTTTTCTTATATATGGCAGAGTTTAAAAGTTTCTTGTGTGTAGTCCAGTACAAAAGCCTTAAGATACGACTACAGAAACAGACATGTCTGTGATGGGACTTGCTTTTTTCATCTCCATGGGACTGGCCTAATAGTTCTTTTCTTTCCTTATTTCTCTTTTCCTTGAACCCAGGCTGTGTCTGCTAGATCCCTGCAGCACTCTCTGAGCCTTCAGGTTACAGAAGGCCAGCCTAGCACTACACTTTTTGGGTAGTATAACACTTTTTAGTTAGAGTTGCCATTTTTGATGATAATTCTCTATTGCTGATGGAGCTATACCAGCAATATGAGCTTTTTCTGGCATTTGTTACCTGAGAAATTAAGTTGTAGTCACAGAACAGCTGAAAGATTGGAAGGAACCTCTGAGGATTGTGTAGTTCAATACCCCTGCTCAAAGCAGGATCAGTTATAGCAGGTTGCTCAGAATCTAGTCCAATTGGTTTTCGAGTGTAGACCCCACAGCTTCTCTGGGTAACCTGTTCAGTGGCAACACTTTTCCTAATGCAGCCCAGGATGCTGTTGACCTTCTTTGCTGCAGGGACGCACTGCAGGCTCATTTTCAACTTTTCCACCAAGACTTCCAGATCCTGTTCTAAAAGGTTTTTTCTATCTGGTCAGCCCCCAGTGTGTGGAGTTGTTATGCCTGGAGTTGTTCCTCCCCAGGTGCAGGGAAGGAATACAACAATTTCCTTTTGTTTAATAAGATTCCTCTTTGCCCAATTCTCCAGCCTGTCCAGGTCCCTCTAAAAATCAGCATAACTGTGTGATACATAAAACTACTCTTCCCAGTTTTGTATCATCTGTGTACTTGCTGAAGGTGCACTCTGTCCCAGCACTGAGGTCATTAAGGAAGATGTTAAATACTGTCCAATTATCTAATCCATACTTCTTCAGCTTGTCTATGAGGGTGTTATGGGAGACAGTGCTGAACACCTTGCTAAAGTCAAGGTAAACAACATTCACTGCTTTCCCATCTTTCACCAAGCTGGTCGTCTTATTGTAGAAGGCTATCATGTTTGTCAGGCATGATTTCTGCTTTGTAAATACATGTTGACTGCTTCCAGTCACCTGCTTATCTATAGTATGTCTGGAGATGGCTTCTCAGAAGATTTTCCATCATAGGCCGAGGTGAAGGTGACCAGCTTGTAGTTCCCTGGTTCTTCCTTCCATTTTGCCAGAAATGCAAAGAAATTCCTCAGAAACCTCCCCTGCTCTCCCTGAGCATTCAGAGGTAACCAGAGTGGCTTTGCAATGACGTTGGCCAGCTCCCTGCCATACCATTAGGTCCCAGTCACTTAAAAAAGGAGTTGGTTTATGTAACTAGACTGATAAAATTTATCTTGTCATGACAAGGACTAAGGTGAACATCTGCAGGACAGGGAGGTTTAGATGGCTTTGTTAGTTTGTATTTTAGTACTTTGTCCTTAACTAGTAAACAGGACAACTTAATGCATATTTATCAACAGTACTTAGATACAGAATGTGCAGACACAGTGTTGGCAAGATTTACTTTCTCAAATATCACTTTTGTTTTTATATTGATCTGGTGACCTTAAATGAATGACACGTGCTTGACTCAAGGCAGGCCTTTTGTGCCTGAAAGCTTGATTCTGCCCTCCTACTCCCTACACTGTATCGTTTGCCTCAGTAGAAGTTATTAACATCTATTTCTCAAATTTGCCTTCTCTAGACTTCTCCAGTGGTTTTAATAAAATTCTTAGTGTGCAGTGCAAAAGCGGTCTAGGAGATGAGACCTGAATGTAGACAAGAAAGTAGAAAAAGGGTGGCTGTTGTTTTTGTGGGGCTGAACAAGTCTTGTCCATGATTGAGACCCAGACCAATGGGTAACCGGGCAGGTTTGTTTTCTGTTAACTTAACTTTAAGGTATGTTGTAAATGTGCGCATCATTTCACTTAGATTGCTCCGCGTCAAGTCAGAGAAGCCAGTTTGACAGGTGGTGTCAGTTCGCAACTGAAAAATGAAGCAGGACCACCACAAGAGTACTTGTCCTCTTATAATGGTCCTGTCCCTGAAGAAGGTGGAAGGAGTGCATTGCATATTTCATGCAAAAGAGAGGATAACAGTGAGGTAAGATCATAGCATCTGAGGCTCTGCTCATAGGGAGCAGTTCTAAGCTAGTCTCAAATTACATAACTTGGCAGTGAAGACATTTCATCCTTCTGTAAGAAGCTGGTTGAATACCAGGAATAAACTACTTTTCTACTGAATTATTAGTGTTGTACTGATCAAAAGTCTATTAGCACTTGAGGAAAAAACATTTCTTAAATCTTTGGAATTCTGTTTGATGAGAGCAATTCCTTTAGTCCAGTTTCCACTGGTTAATTTGCTGTTAACTTAATCATCCACAAGGCTAATTTGAAATTGGACAGTCTTAGTTTTGGTGTGTAGTAGCCCCTCTGGATTTGATTTTGTACTACAGTACATTCTTCTAGCAGATTTGGGATGCATACAGTTGGAGAAAGGTATTTGAGAGAGGAGACCTACTTCTTCAGAAGCAAACCTACACATTCCTTCTGCTGGCAGGATTAATGAGATTTGATAACCTGGTTGTGAAGAGATTTCATGTATAGCAACACTGTGCTTGGGGTTCTCTGTCATGAGAAAGTGGATGTGTATTTTTACCATAACATCATAGTTTAGGTGAAAGGTGAAAGTGGATGTGTATTTTTACCATAACATCATAGTTTAGGTGAAAGGTTTGAATGTGGTTTATGCTGCTCACTTTATTAACTATACTATTATTAAATTTAATATTAAAAAGTTAACTTTATTATTATTATCTAATTCTACCTTTTTCCACTGCACTTGCCTGCAAAGCATGCCAGAGATGTTATCTGCCTCCTTTTAACGCATCAGGCAAATCCAAACACATTGTGGAGTGGCCATTCACCACTTTCCTTAGCAATTGCCAGTGGGAATGACTTGGTGAGCATCTTTAAATTCTTTCTTTTTTTGGGTGTACTTCTGTACATTGATGTCTGCCTTCTCTGACGACAGCCAAAATACATAATGAGTGGTGCTTGCAATCATACATTTTCAGTGAAAATAATAGTTTTTACTCTTCTTTCAAACCTGTGGATGTCTCATGAATCAAACTAGGGGAGTCCTAAAGGCCTCCAGTATGAGGTAGCCAGAAATATTTGGGTAGGACTCAGCAGGGACTAGCATTTGGAGGACTGTGTTCATTTTATGAATCACAAGAACATTCAGTTCTCTTACAGGCTGCCTCCATGCCCAGAGCAACCCAACCAAACACTAAAGTACTTACTTCTGTGTGTGAGACAAAAGTGTAGCCATGATCGGTCTTAGAAAGGATTTGGTTATAATGAGGCTTAGCACTCCGCAGATGAGGGTTATAGTTTACACACTACAAATCAGGGTGTGAAGTTAGCCCGTCTTCCCGAGCAGGGAATGGAGTCTCCTCTGCCCACACTGGGCCCATAAAAGCAGGTCCACAGCAGTCAGCACAGTGCAGGGGAAGATACACAGCCAAAGCTGGTGAGGAAGCAGGTATGTCTGCAGTGCTCTACCTCTCTTTGAATAGATCTCGGTGTGTCCAGGCTCCTCGCTCATCTTCTCTGTGGAAAGTAAGGCAAGAGAATGATGGGGTGAGAGTGGCACCCTGGCTCCCCACGGAGCTCAGCTGTGGTGCAGCCAGCACACAAAGCCATGGCAGGAACAATTGTAAGGGGGTAAGTGTGACTGACTGTATGTAGCCTAGCAGTTCAGGTAAGCTGAAAGAGGCAGGGTTGGAGTGTGATTTCTGCTTCCCTGTTTACTTTTCTCCAGTACAAAAGCACACAAATCCAGAGAAATCTTGGAAACATAGCCATGAGCAAAGCTAGGGGGAGACCCTTTTCAGTATTTTTGATGAAAACAGCATTCTACCTTTTGTTTTGTTACTACAAAAGTTATACTTTACATAGGATAAATGGTAGAGCATAATAGAAAATATTTGTTGTATGTTGTTATTTGTTAAGTATACTACTTTCACTGGAAGGGTATCAAATACCTATAAAAATAAAACTGGATGCAATATAATATAATATGGAGCTAGAGTGTGGACTATGGAAGAGGTTATAATAGAAGTGGCTACAACTGCATACAACATAAACAGATTCTGTATGAAGTGTTTGAACCTGAACCTTTTTTCTTACACTGTCCTCATAATTTTTAAGACAGTTTTGGTATTTTTCTGGGCAAAAGTGTTTACTTGCAACACAAAAATTTTAAATTCATGATTTTGAATGAAATAGGAAGTCCCATATCCAACAACTTCTGCTGCTTCTCCCACCTTCTCAGAGGCTAACATATGATGAAGTAATGATCTAATAGGCTATAAGTGATCCTTATCTTTGTGGTAGAGCATTTTTTTTTTTTTTAAACACACTATGAATCAGACCAGGTGATTTTTAAAGCTAGCCTCTCATGTCTTTGATACTGTTTTTTGGTAAAGTATTCCATGGTGACATTATGATTCACACTAATGGAAGTGAAAACTACTGTCCAGTGGACTTTTAAATTTTTGTGTGCTACTGAAGCTATGACAAATACTAGCAGGTACTCCAAGTGTGCTGTGGTAAATACTGTAGAGCTTTAGGTTCTTGACTGGTCTGCCTAGGGTCTCACCTTCCTGCTGTAGAACTGTCAATAAAGGCTTCTCCAGTCACTAATTTGTCACATTTGCATATGCACATTTCCAGGCAGTGGGTGAACTCCTCAAACATGGGGCTGACCCAAATCTGCCATTAAGCGGAGCCGTAAGAAGTGCCCTCTGTGCAGTATGCTCTGTCAGTACAGCATATGAACAGCAGAGAACAACAGCACAGAGGATTGCTTTGTTAAGATAACATCTGTGTGTTTGTTGTTTTTATTAAACTTCAGAAAAACAGTGATTTTTGTCAGGTACATCGAATCCCCTTTCTCTTTAATGGGTAAACTTTTTTTTCCCCCCAGAACAATTAATTTGTTTCTGTTGTGAGGAGCAGGGGTTTTGTATGGAAATTTATTTTCATGTTTGAGTAACAAGGATGATAACCTTGTGTAGAATAGAAAAAACAGTCAAATGGGATGGCTGTAATGCTCACAGCCCTGTCAAATCTGTCTGTTACCTTGTTTATAAACACAACCAGCACCCACATGAAGAGAGACACCTTGTGTGTGGTTGTTACTGTGAAGTGGTCGATACCACTTGTGATGAGTGCACTTTCTCATCTATGATGAAGGTAATGGCAGTGTTTTGTCTTGTGAAAACTGGAGTTTTTCTCCTCATCCCTTGACCTTACTTTGTTTTATGGCAAAGCCAGCTTTCAGAAGGATTTGAACAATTTTATTGCCTTTCTCAAAAACTTCTTCTGCTGTGTCACCCCATACGATGATGTCATCGATATAGTGCAGATGTTCCGGAGCTTCACCCCGTTCCAGTGTGGTCTGGATCAGTCCATGGCAAATGGTGGGGCTGTGTTTCCACCCCTGGGGCAGTCGATTCCAGGTGTATTGGATGCCCCTCCAAGTGAAAGCAAACTGTGGCCTGCACTCTGCTGCCAAAGGGATTGAGAAGAATGCATTGGCGATATCAATTGTTGCATACCACTTGGCTGCCTTCGACTCCAATTCATATTGAAGCTCTAGCATGTCCGGCACAGCAGCGCTCAGCGGTGGCGTGACTTCATTCAGGCCACGATAATCCACTGTTAGTCTCCATTCTCCATTAGATTTTCACACTGGCCATATGGGACTATTAAAGTGTGAACGAGTCTTGCTGATCACTCCTTGAGTCTCTAATTGACGAATCAGCTGATGGATGGGAATCACAGAATCTCGGTTAGTGCAACACTGCCGTCGATGCACCGTTGTGGTAGCAATCGGCACCTGTTGTTCTTTGACCCTTAACAACCCTACCACAGAAGGGTCCTCCGAGAGACCAGGCAAGGTGGATAACTGTTCAATTTCTTCTGTCTCCAAGGCAGCTATGCCAAAAGCCCACCGGTACCCTTTTGGGTCCTTGAAGTATCCTCTCCTGAGATAGTCTATACCAAGGATGCATGGAGCCTCTGGGCCAGTCACAATGGGATGCTTTTGCCACTCATTCCCAGTTAAGCTTACTCCAGCTTCCAGTACAGTCAACTCTTGGGATCCCCCTGTTACTCCAGAAATACAAATGGGTTCTGCCCCTCTGTAATTTGATGGTATTAAGGTACATTGTGCACCAGTGTCCACTAGAGCCTTATACTCCTGTGGCTCAGATGTGCCAGGCCATCGAATCCACACAGTCCAATAAACCCGGTTGTCCCTTTCCCCCACCTGGCTGGGGGCAGGGCCCCTCTAATCCGGATCATAGTATCCGTTATTCACTTGTTGCAGAAATGATTTGGAAGTCCCTTCAAGAGGGTCAGAGGCGAAACCAACCCTTCCACTCTGTCTGGGGTGCTGTCTGCTGGACACGGGAGCAGCACTTTTCCTAGAGGCATCCCCTTTTGTGATTGTTCTCCCTTGCAGCTCATGTACCCGTGCCCGTAGGGCCGAGGTCGGTTGTCCATCCCACCTCCTCATGTCCTCTCCGTGGTCACGCAGGTAAAACCACAGGGTGCCTCGTGGTGTGTATGCCCTGTACTCTCCCTCTTGAGCAGGGAAACGCCTGCTCTTAACAGCTGAGATGCTGGTCTGTACAGGTGGGGAGTAGGACATACTCTCTTCAAGTTGCTGGACCTTCTGGGACAATTTCTCAACAGCTGAGATGAGGGGGGAAGAGAGACTTTCTTCATATTGACGGAGTCGTCCAGCCACCTCATCCACTGTTGGTCCTTATCCTAACTTATTAAGCGTAGCTAAAGCTCTAGCTGCTGCCACCCCAGGTGCTAACCATGAGGCAAAAAGCATCTCGGTTCTACTCCAAAACTGCACATTATCATCACATTTTGACTCAAACGCATGAGTCATTCGCTTCTTGCTCCTAGACGACCAAGTCTTCAGCCAGACTTTTCCATGGCCTGATCCACCTGGCTGGAATCCAGCGAGTACCTCTTTCTGTAACGATACAAACATAACCTCGGCCAATATATCACAGTTCAGTGGGACCTTTCCACACTCCAGTTTCAGGGTCTTTATACTGGACCAAAGTAGTTCGGTTCTGTCCTGTATGTCTCGAGCCCAAAGCTTCACTGTGAATCACTGCGGGGGGGCTCAGTGTCAGTTCCTACTAACCGTAAAAAATTCATCACATATATTACCTTCTGTATTCGTGCTACAGGAGACAAATTCTCCTCCTCTCCCCCTTTTTGTTTTAACAGTAACTGTTTGATTACTTGCTGCACATGTTCTACAATCACCTGTCCTGTAGGGGAATGAGGAATACCTGTAACATGTTTAACTCCCCAGAGGTTCATAAATCGCTGCAAGGCCTGTGAAGTATAAGCAGGGCCATTATCTGTTTTAATTTCAAGAGGAACTTCTAGCGTGGCAAAACATCCACGTAAATGTAGCATTACATGTCAAGCTGTTTCCACAGACAAAGGGGTAGCCCAAACAGCATGAGAAAAGGTATCCACTGTAACATGTACATATTTTAAATGACCAAAACTGTGTACGTGAGTAACATCCATCTGCCAAAGCTGTAATGGTCGTAGGCCTCGGGGGTTGATTCCTAAGCCCACTCCCAAAACTTGTCCTTGACAGTCAGGACAAGCTTGAACAATTCCTTTAGTGTCTGATAATGGAATGTTGAACTGTCGAATTAACATTTTTGGAGCGTGATGGAAAAACATGTGAATTTCGAGCCTGCTAGAATGCATTACGAGGCGGACCATTCCATGCCGCGGCCACCAATTGATCAGTACGCTCATTACCTTCCACTAAACTACCAGGAAGGCCAGAATGGCTACAAATGTGGACAATAAAATACTCATGCTTTCGAGAATTTGTCAGTTGCCATAATTTGGTTAAAAGTTGACTAAGTCGATGATTATTCACCTCCTTCAAGATAGCACGTTCGAATCGTTGTACTATGCCAACAACATACAAAGAGTCACAAACATCATTAACAGGTTCTGCTGACCAATTCCTAAATACTTCAAGAACAGCATATAATTCCAACATTTGAAGGGGAATCAGTAACTTCACCTGTCAAGCATTGTGAATGCCATTGCCCATTGTGATGCCACACATAGCTGGCCTGATGGCTATTTTTACAAGCATCTGTGAAAACAGTCAGCCCGTTAACTGATCTCCTAGAGAATTTTGGAACAATGTCAAAACCATAATGGAGTAAAAACTTTATTAGTCGGTGAGCTGGGTAATTAATAGTAAGATCTCCAATAAAGGCATTCAAGGCCATGGCTAACACAAAATCGTTGTGCAATACCCAATTAAAGTATTCCGCTGTAATAGGGACATAGATAATAGCAGGGTCAAAACCATCTATCTCTCAACATCATTTTCTCAAATGGATGATAACTTGGGCAATAGCTTCCACCTTAGTCACAATAGATTTGACAATCGATATGGCAAAAATATCCATTCCATGATATATAAAGGAAGCAAGATCTTAGCTAAACGATAACAATCATTAGGTACTAAAACTGCAGTAATAAACATCACACCCAGCATTTGTTGTGTATAATTAGATGTTAACCCATATTGTACAATAGCATTTTTCACTTCTTTTATTGTTTTCCAATCCAAAGGACTCCACTCTCTGTTCCTCTGCACGTTAGCTGTCACCAGGTTAGCTCTGTGAACATCATTAAGAGGCAAAATAACCCCGTCTAGCATAGCATCCTGTGTAACGCCTTTCCAATGCCGGGCAGCAGTGCCATCTGCCCACGGCTTTCCCTTTGGTGGAAGAGGTAAATCATCAGGCAATGTGTCCTGGTTCTGGCAGGGATGGGGTTAATTTTCCCAAGGGGGATACAGGTATTCCATGCCATGTGACCCATGCCCAGGTTTGGGGGGGGAGCTAGCCGGGGGGAGAGGGCAGGAAGTCGCGGCTGGGAGCGGGCTGCGGCGGTGCGGGTCCGGTCAGGGAGCGGCGGCACTGTAATCGCGTTCGTATATTCCGTTACCGGTGTTACTGTTATTGTTTTCTCTTGCTTTTGCTGTTCTGTTAAACTGCTTTTATCTCAACCCACGAGTTTCTGCCTTATTCCTTCTGATTCTGCCCACGGCTGTGGGAGTTGCGCGAGCGGCCGCGTGGTTCTTTGTTCCCGGCTGGGGCCAAACCACGACACAGGTAAAAGTATGTTTTAACAAGTGCAGTGGAGGTGTTTCTAATGCACTTCTCTTGAACAGCTCTTCAATAATGATTTAACACATACTATAATAAAAGAGCTTGTACGTGGATTTAATACATTTTATTTTATTGCACTCTACTTTATCTCAACCAATTTTCGTCCTACTTTATCTCAAGTGATGAAACATTTTCTGCCTGTAAGCATGATAAAATCATTTCAATGTTTCAAAGAGATAGTTAAGGAGTTCTAAGAATATATGCTTTCTTTGTCTGCTTCTAGTCAATAAACAAATAATGATCTCTCACTGGTTAGATTACAGTGCATTGCAACAGTATAACTAGTTTGCATTGTCAGCTCTGTACAGAAGGTCTGTTCCACTGAAGGCTAACAACTTTATCTCAGTTCTCCAAACTGTTTTCTCTCTCATTATCCAGATAAGAAATTCCCCCTTTGAAATGGCACCTCCTTCAGCATTCACTTCCCTCCCCTCCCGCTTTACATTTCCATTTGGAAGATCTTCATTTCCCACCTAAATTTTGGGGGGAGCTCTAGAAAATTTTCAGACTCAATCACATTCTTCTTACAGCTACTCCTACCTGCAGATGACAATTGCAGCTTTTTTC